GAAGCAAATGTGCTGATCAAATAATTGCGCAAGAATTGGATGCCTATATCGCTCAAGCAACCGCAAGATAGAATCTGGATATTCTTTTTAGTGTAATTTTTGTAATATATATAAATATTAACAATTTCGAGACTAAATGTACTTTAATAAATTCCTTGTAGTGATTGAATTAATATTTTGAATTTCATGGTCTATTATTAAATACTAAATTGAAATAATTAATGATATATTAAGAAAACTTGTATAAAATATCCATGTTAATATTAATCGAGTCTTTCTTTCAAAGTATTTGATCTCGGGATTCTAACTTTATATAATTTATTAGAAGATAGCAAGATTTGAAATGAAGAATCAACATTGTAATATATAAAAATGGGATACTTGGCGGTGTGATATATGATGTAGAATGGCTTATTACGAAATCTACAGCTACAACGATTGAACCCCATTTTACCCAAAAGCTCGCAGGATTTGTAGAATCAATTTTGGTGTTTTTAAGATAGTGATAATATGAAAAAAATAATAAGCCGAATTCTAATGATTGGCTTAATAAAAAACTTTTATAAAGATCAAATCCGTATTTTTCCTTAGAATTGTCGAAGGTGAATAGCAACAGATCTAACATTTTATAGGAATTCATTATTAAACAAGCACAAATTTATTTGAAAGTTAAAGTCCTTACCTTTGTCATGAACTACCAAATCTTCAAGCCAGTGAGAAAGCACCAATAAACAAAATAAAAAAGCTGCCTTGGTACCTCTTTTAAAACCAGAGAAAAAGTGGTACCACAAGCCAGCAACCAAACTCCAAATTATCGCACCAAGTAGTGAATGCAAATATGGTGCATAGACTACTTCCTCTTTAATCGTAAACGAAGGTCTAATTTTTGCTAAAGAAATGCCGTTAAGAAAAAAGTTATCGAAATACTTTAATAATTAAAAGTATTTAATTTTTACACTTACCTTCTTCAATATGAAAAAGAACAAAGAGAGTATATAACACATCGATAAACTATGTCGATATTGATATTATTTAGATAAATAATTATCACCATAGGATTTTGTTATATTATTGGATTAACCTGGACAGCATTCATTAATGCCAAAATTGGGATTGTTGGCTCGATAATTTTAACGAACCAGGCACCACAATAGTGACCATAAAACATCTTTGAGAAAGCATTCAAGATGATTTTGTCGTGCTTAAGTTGACATCTACTTGAAGTTACCAATTTAGGCACACTTACTAAAATTAACCCTGAAATTAGATCTTCCTTGTTCGCGTTAGTTAGTAATTTTAGGCAGTTTCAACTTCAGTTACAACTTCAAGCGAAAATCATATTAGAAACGTAATTTGGAAATCTTTTGTCCGTTCGCACGCGTGTATTACGCGTATTTACGCGTTTGCGTAATATGAATACTTATGATTCATACTAAGTAATGTAACAATGTTTCATTGACATATTTTACCTTTTTACTATATATAACTTTTTTTTCGATAGTTTAGTTTCTTTACGTTAGGTTTGTTACTAATAATAGAAATGTAAGAACCGTTTAAAAAGTTTCTATAAATGCTCTACTGATTCTAAAGCATGGGTCAGTTAGGTTTCCTTCGTAAAAATCATAGAAATTTATTTATAGGGGTGATTATTTTTCACCTGTGGTTATGCTACTTATTCATTTCGTTATTTTTATGATGCATATTTCTGAGTATGTACCGTAAATCTTTCTCTTACGCTTACCTTTTTATTCTAGGACGGAAAAGACCAAGACTTTGCTGAGGGATCGTGAGATATGAGCAGGAATTCTTCAAAATTTGAAAATTTTAAAAAACTTTGAAGAATCGCAAAAGTTTTTTTGCTCATATCTCGATTCACTTGGAGAATTTTGATAAATAGCCACCGTTGAGATTGAAATTACCTTCTCTATAACGTTTAATAGAAGTTTATCATAGAATTTTTTTATCTCTGAAATTTCACAATTCGACGTGTTCGCGTCATGAGACACAAGCAAGGGTGATTTTCACCTGGGTGAAAATTTTTAACAGGTTGTTAATAGCTATTAGTTATAAAAAATTATTGGATATTTTTTTATATTCCACGGTCCCTAATGTTCGCTCGTGATATTTTTATGCTGTGAAAATATCACACTGCTTCGTGTGCCAGGTTTATGGCGCAGATTTCCTGAACCAATTAACCATTAATTCTAGCTGCCGCAACAAAATTGTTCCAGCAGATTCTCGATTTTGGCCGGAATTACTTAAAATTTTACTAGAGTTCACAGCCACTCATTAAGTGAAAATTGTTCCTGGATTAATTTTAATATTGTGCGAGCCTATTTTTTTGAAAATTTCTATTTTTGAATAAAAAGGTCAAAAGTAAATTCTGGCCAAAAATTAGTAAACAATTATGTAATGCGGGCCAAAATTTTACGGATCCACGGCCGTTAGCCAATCAAAATCGAGAATCTTTTGTTGTGGCAGCTATGGTTAGTTAAAGAATTTTTGCTGTAAAATATGTAGATGGTGAAGATATACTATCATATAAAGTGATGCAAAATTCAACAGATAATTAGAAGAGGTAAGGCTATACAATTGCTACTTGTGTATGCTACTTAAAGGAAACCGTGCTTTCAAGTTCATTATTTACTATTTACTGGATCCACGGCAACACGTATTATATTAGAGGTTGGAACCGGTTTTAATAATTCGGGTTTATCATATGAATTTTGTGATATTTTAGAATTTATTAAAATTTAATTGGATAAATTTCTAAAATATCCCAAAACTCACGGGATAAACTCGAATTATTAAAACCGGCTCAACCTCTATACTATATGTTACCAGTCAAGGCCTCGAGCTTTTAAATATATTAAACTTTCAAGGATTGAATCCGATAAAAGATATGTGAAAAGTTAAATCACGCTACGCATAATGTGATTTAATTTTTTACGTAATAAGTAATTACCTTGCACTTGTGTTTATACGTATAATGATAATTTTACATATATATTTTAGTTCATGTGCAAACTGAGGAAATAAAATTGTTTGTGGATTAACTCAAAGCACCATCACCCGGTGTGCAACATATAAAAAAATTATTTTACAATACTAGATCATTCCGCTAGTACATGTTATCCCACACCATTTTTATTATAATAAAATGGTGTGGGATTATCTATAAAATATTGATAAATAATAACATAATTTCGTTGCACTCCATCTCTTGGTATGCTGAAGTATAGACAAAGTCACGAGAATGGATCATCCAATCAGATGCGAAATTGACCCATCATTTCAGTTTGATAAGATTCATTCGTTCCTGATATAACTATTTTTTTAAAAAATAATTTAATCAAGCACATAGTGGTTGAAAGTTTATACAACTAAATAAATTGTCATTACGAACTACTCTTAAATCTTTCAATGTTTTTTTCTAATGCTGCAACCCGACTCTCTACTCTTTCAATGTACATTATGATTTGTTAATTGTCATTCTAAATTGATGTGCAACGTATAAAATATAGGTTGTAGGAGTTGCACGTAAATTATAGGGAAAATTATCAACGAAATAAGTTGATATTCTGGAGAGAAAGGTAACCAACACGAAGAACAGAGCCTTAAAAAACAGAGAATTGACAGGTTGTGTTAACATAATTAAGAGAGTTTGAAGAAAGCCCGGAAGGCAAACCGTTGCTAGGTCAGCTATTGTAATTACTCGATTAGGTATTTTCTTCAGAATTAAGTATGTAGTTGTTATCAATGTGAAGGTTAAAAAGATAATTAAAGAGAAAAGTATAATCAATCCTTGTTTAACGTATTTTCAGTATTTGATAAATGAATTAACCAAAAAGTTGGTATCGCAGTTATTTGTATAAAAACAATGAACATTTCACCGATAAGAAAAGGATAATCATCAACACCTATTTCACTATTTTTATTGGTGGTGTTTACGTTAAGTTTTTTTGTTTTTGCGATAACTTATGATTATACAGAAGAGATGTGGAATCGCATTGCAGATAGCAAAGATAAGCTCATTTCGTAAATTATATTATTAAAGGAATGACCCAGGTAATAATATTATATAGCAAATCATCAAATATAGGAGAAGATTAGTCTTCCAAGATGAATTTTCGTCTTGTAAAATAGTAAAGAACATTAAAAACACTAATGGCATTAAAGTATTAAGAGCGCCATCAAACGTATCCTGATATGATTGATTAGTGGGATCGACTTGAAAAAAGGTAGCCATTTCGAATGCTGCAATATCTTGAAGAGCATTTAATGCATTTATAAATATTTACCTTAAAAAAAATTCATATGGAAACTTTGTTATGTCTTGGCATTTTTTCTAGATTTTTGATTTCCGGTGTGATGTATGAAAATCACTGATCACAGTAATTTGAAAAGCGCAATAAGTTTCACCAGCATCTCTATTCCGTACTGTACATACATACATACATACACCTTATAGAGACAGAAGTGGACAAATTAGATATTATATAACGATAAACTTTATTGAAGTCGATAATTTAGGAAATACTGTCAGTATACGTAAAAATTTTTATATAGGTCTACAAATCCAATGTAAACTTACATAGTAAGAATTTTTATACGTAAACTACGTAATTTTTATGTTATATTATTTATATAAATGAGAAGTCAAGGCAAATTGGTTTTATTAAAATATCTCAACAAAAACCTAATCAATTTTGATAATTTAGTATTTATTTTAATTTTATAAACTTGTAAAAATAAAAGAAATACTAAATTATCAATATTGATTAAGTTTTTGTTGAAATATTCAAGTTTAAAGTTCAAGACAAATTTTAATAAAACCAATTTGCTTAGATTTTGTTGACTTTCCTCAAACATAAGATCTATATAAATTTTATTTATATTTATATAAAAATAATTAAATTACTGCAGTTATTTCTCAAAATAATCAAGGTAATCACTGATAAATGTACTAAGTAAAAATATTCAAAATGCTTGAAAACCTTTTTAAACCTTTAATTTAAACTTTAAAATTCAATCTTAATTTTAATATTTAAGTTAAATCTTTTTTACTATTTATATAATTTTATATATTAATATATATAGATTTATATAGGATAGTAATTCTAGTGTAGTAGTTGGGTTGTCATACTCCAAATGGTAGATCTAAGATTCAAATTCCACTATGATGAAATTTGAAAATTAACCTGTGTTATAGAAACTGTTTTTTGTCAATTAGTTGGTTTCATGCAGCTATAATTCAGGTATATCAAGTTGGGCCTACTTATTATTGAGAGCTTAAAGCATCTATATAAAGTGTAATATTATATATAAATAGAGAAATATTAATAATCAGTATTGTATAAAACTTTGATGCAAACTTATAATAAAATCACTAGACACAGAAGACAAAAGAACAAAAAAGACAGAATTTTATTTAGAAATTTCTAAATAAAGAGGTAATGCAAACCTTTGACAGTACTATTAAACTAATGAAAGTTTATAAAATACTTTTATAAAAATAGACAAATAAACCAGATAACAAAGATATATGAGAAGCATATAATCAATCAGACTATCAAAATTGTTAAAAGAAAAGAATATTAAGGTATATCATATCAGATTATTTGAATTAAAAGTTTAGAAGATTTGTTGATTTTGAATTATAGTTAGTATAATAAATAACAATTATAAAAATAGTTTTACTTAGAGGTGTAGTAACCTAGTAAAGTGGTCAGATTATCAATTATTCAAGTAGTAGGTTAAGTGTTCAAATCTCATTGATAGTAAAAATTTAGATAATTATTTATGTAATACTTATATTATAGCAACTGTTACTAATAATTAGATTAGAATATCTGTAATAATGATCATACTAGTATAATTAACAGGTTATAGGACATCTGTATAACTTGTTATATAAAGAAATGCAAACCAATAAATCAAATGATACAAACACTAGATAAGTCCTTATAACTGTATAAATCTGTTGAAATTGGATAACAAAAAGTTCATTTGAGAAAACCTAAATAGAGAGATAGCCAGATCTTTGATGACCTTATTGTAAAAGCTAATCCAAAGAAACAGATACCAAGGTTATAGTACCTAATCATAGTAGCTAAACAAACAAGAATCTCTGAATTGGAAATCTTAGAGGTATCATCAACCAGGTCA